AAATCTCTGCTCTCTCTGCTCTGGAATGCTCTAACAAATGCTCGATCCTCGTCAGAAGTGACCCTAGGGGGGTATTTATAGCCTCAAGGTGTCTGTAACTGCAAAAACTTAACAATCGAAGAAGTCAGTACGGCGAGACAGTGTTTACTGTCTCGCTGGGCGAGACAGCGTTTGCTGTCTCGACCCGCGAGACAGTAAATTTGCTGTCTCGCTCAGCGAGACAGTAAATGCTGTCTCGGAAAATGACAGTTTCTCGCTGTAACCGCTCTCCCACGTTTCAAACTCCGTTATTTTGGCAGTTATCCACGTGATTTTCGCCCACGATGTTTCCCACGTCTCTTGGCAGTTAATGGACACGTGTAGGGCAGTTACAACTCGCTGGCGAGACAGCAAAGTCTGTCTCGCTGGCGAGACAGCAAATACTGTCTCGCTGGCGAGACAGCAAAGCCTGTCTCGCTGGCGAGACAGCAAAGCCTGTCTCGCTGGCGAGACAGCAAAGCCTGTCTCGCTGGCAAGACAGTTCATTCCTGATTTGATCTTCAATGTGAGATCCCTTTGAGTGATTTTCTCTATGTTTGGGATATCTATTAGCATTTTTTGACGCCTACAGATACCCCCTCCAAAGTATTCCAGACTCATTCTTTTATAGAGGAGCATGGGATACTTTGGATAAGATAGATTTTACTTACGATCCCTTCAATGCTTGGCTGAGTAGATCGTGTGGAAGAACTTGTAAATGGCTTCAACGCTTGATCTCTTCTGCTTTTAGTCTATTCAGTTCTTCGTAGAATAGCTAATGTTCTCCCGGTGTTGCGTTTATCGCTTGACCGTTGTCGAGATCTTAAATTGAAGTTGGTATTTGCTCTTGTGAATTCAGCTTTTACCACTGAATTGGTATATCCATTGAGAATTCCTCAGGTTATCCTTAAGAATATTCAAATTAATATTCTCCAGAAACTTCCTATTGAGGGTGGGAATACAGTTTAGACTCGTGTACCCATTGGAGTATTCCACTGTTCCATAGTGCAAAACAGAAAAGTTTACTGTCTCGTTCGGCGAGACAGAGTTTTCTGTCTCGCTGGGCGAGACAGTGTTTTCTGTCTCGCTCGGCGAGACAGTGTTTTCTGTCTCGCTCGGCGAGACAGAGTTCTCTGTCTCGCTCGGCGAGACAGAGTTGTCTGTCTCGCTCAGCGAGACAGAGTTTCCTGTCTCGCCCGGCTGCTATATAAGTCGGGACTTAGGGTTTTAGGGTTTTTTACGTCGGATTTTGACGATTTTTTGGACGATTCTTGGGCGATTTTCGACCAGTTTTCTTCTATTTCTTCTCCTTTTTGTTGCCGACTTGGGAGGTGCTCTTGTTTGGGAAGATTTCACTCAGATTTCAAAGGTTTGTTCTTCCCCTTATTCCAAAATTTTGACTCTCCTTCAACTGTAACTGTGCATGCATCATTTCGGTTGTATTTGTCCTATTTTTTGTCGATTTCATGTTCAAAATCTTAACCTTCCTCTTGGATTTCAATGTAGATCACATACTCATCATGTCGCCACGTAGATCTCGAGGGAAGGGAATCCGACCGACTGTTCAGAGCCCTGAGGAGGCTGCCCCTGCTGCACCCTCACGTGGAGGTATATTTCTTTCACCTTTTCACGAATTTAAATACTGTATTTCGTCAATTCCATATATATGTTCCTGTATTTGCTTGCAGATCCTCGTTTGTATCCTTTGAGGTACCTTCGAGAAGAGCCGGTATCCTCCTTTGAGGGGATCGACGCTTAAAAGTGTTTGTTTTGCTTTGACAAAACACACTTCATAATACACAGGGGCGATTTCATATCCTCCTACATGTATTGAAAGGTTCTGGTATGCCGTTATAATGCCCGCATATCTCCTTTATACATGTGGTAGGTGGGAAATCGTCACACCTGTTGTGAGATAACGACTATATCTTATAGAGTAAGATATATCGCTTTTCTCTAAAATTTTAGGATGACACTTACACAATTTATGTGTATGCCTCTTTTATCAGTCCGATTCCCTTCCTCCATCTTTAATGCTGATGCGGTTACGGGTCAGAGTAGCGTGACCCAATCAATGTATAAGGAAGCCGGATTTCTTGTTTGGTGATTCGGTGAAAGATCCGAAGATTGCTTTCTGCCAGCCTACGCAATGGTTGTACCAGAATGGGTCCTCATTCTTATATCTGCCTTTTATCCCCCGGGATCACTCACTATTAATGTTCAGGAATCTATCAGTTGGACGTGAGATGTTCTGGAAGTTGACTGAAAATCACGAGCGTATTCATTGTGGTTTTATTGGGAAGGAAGCCAACCTAGGCTCCAGTGAAAGAGCTCATGTGCGGGGGCTTCATCCGGGTATCTTGGGACAGGATAACATACCTCAGAACGAAAAGATAGTGCAAGCCAACACCGTGAAGAACCGGTTAGCGGCAGCGGGCAAAAGATTACCCAAAGAGACTTTTAGATGCTATGGATGGGTCCATTATTCTGGGGACAAATGGTGGTGGACCAGGATGACCCGATATGTGTTAAACCGCTTTGGGCGAGAGTTAGCAGAATTAGGGTTAGATGTCCACCAATCAGCTGATTAAGATGAAAGATAGCTCGACTGCGACCTATGACACTCTATGGGAATTGACCTGTCATTATCATATAGCCATGGCCGAGATGGAGCCCAAAGCCAGAAAGAAGTCTCCTCAAGTCAGTTTAAAACAATTCGCTGATTATCTCTTCAAGAATCTGGATGTCCGTTCGGCAGATGTGTGCGGATTGTCTCCCTTGAGTACGGATGAAATTAACCGTCTGTTAGAGAAAACCAACGCGCAATCTTATACTTCGCGCTCAGAAGATGGATTTTTGCACGGCACTAAGTTCCGCTCTTATCTGTGGCAAGCTGGTGTTCCGATTAGCCCTACTGCTCTGCTGGCAGGTTTTCTAGCCTTATGGTTAAAGAGATGTGTAGTTCCCCATCAATCCGCAGATGCGATGCCAATGGAAGTGTTGTATCCGGCCGTCCAGCTGGCTACAGGTCGCAAATTATCTTTGCTTCCCGCTATGGTGGCCGATATTCATAGTGGATTGCGGCAACTAATCTCCGCATTTACCCAGGAGAAAAAGAAACCTTCCGCCAGCCTGTCCGTTCCGAAGCTGGAGCTGCCCTATACTTACTTAATGGCCTGGTTGGTACTTCATCGACCAGATTTAATGGAGGCTCCTGATACGGTAGATCTCAGTGTCCCTCTGTTGCAAAATCTCGAGAATTGCAAATGGAGCAAACATCGAGAGCCGGACATAACGAGGCAGTTTAAAATTCACAAATGTTGGGAATTTTTTCCTTGCTTCCCTCAGTTCTCCGGTACTTACAACACTACCTTAGTGGATGCTGAAGACCCAAGGCAGAATCGTACCATTTTGGATGTCGGGTGCTTCAGATGGTTGATGAATATTCGACCTGGATATCTGTTGTTCAGGATAAGGGATGTTTGCCACATCGAACCCTATCTTCCATGTCGATTCGCCCGTCAGTTCGGGTATGATCAGATATACATCGGCAACCCGAATCGTCACCTCAGCTTTCGAGGTGGACTTATCGACGGGGCGAGAGCTTGGTTTTGGAGCATTGCCGGCTGCACCAATGTTGAATTTGATCTCCCCTTAGAGACGCCGCCTCTACGGATGACTTTCCTCTTTTGCAAATGGCTGATAGCCACCAATATTGCCACTCGACGTAGGAGGATATCAGACTCAGAGGAGGAAATAGCTCCACGACAAGCAACAGAACCGCCTCGTGAAGCTGTGATGCCGCCTCGAGGAAAATAGGCTGCTGAATCATCAAGGAAAGGAAAGGAACCGGCTCTCCCAGTTGATAGTGAAGAGGAGTTTGAT